TTATGTTTTTTAGTTAAATAAATTACGGATATATGTATATTCTGACATAGATTCATGTTATTTATGTTTCCACTACTGTTTGTGTTTATCTCCATTTTGTGTGGAGTTTATGATCTCTCCATTTTATGTGGAGTTTTGTTTTGTTGTTTGCATTTGTTTGGTTTATGTCGATAGGTTGTAATTTGTGGAGAATTTTTCAACTATAGGATGATCTTCGTCTTTTGGAGCCTAGCACCAGATCTTAAATGGGCTTGGAACATACTATTGAAAGTGATTCAGTAATTAAACTTTCCCGAATCCATTTTTGTTTGAGTAGCAGGAGCAACTTTTAATTTATTATGAGCCCAAACGATTGATTCAATAAGTTCTTGCCAATAACCACGACCACTGAATAGAAACATTAAACTAAAAGTACACTCATAATTGGCGAATTCATAGGTTCAATTCCTACTGGATGTGCGACCTGTTCCTCTATTGGATTTAATGATTCAAATCATTTGTGTTCTTCATAAGCAATTAATTCATGGATAATTACACCAATATATAGAGGATTCGGGGAGTTCATCTAATCAACTAGTTTTAAAGATCTATTCATTTTCTTCAAGTTCACATTCTATTTTTTATTAAGATTTCTTATTATATCAGTGAACAATAATTTATAATGTTCTGTCAATAGACATTTAAGAGTCATTTGAACTGAACAATAAATGCTCAAGATTTCTGTTCAGTACTCATGACCGGAATCTTTGCTAAGCATTAAAAACATTGACTTACAGATAAGAAATTACTATATAAATACTTGTATAATGTACTAAAGAGGACACAATCAATTACAATATCAAAACATAGCTCATTTCTCTTTTACTCCTATCAGTAAGCATTTGCTTCTTATAATACCGAATCAAAATGTGGAATTGAAGAGAATCGAAGTTGAAATCAGTTATTCTACTTTTGCTACCTGATAGTGTGCTAGCTAGTTGTCTTGGCAATGAACAAGGAGGACAAGTATTGGATTCAAAAACCTCGATGAATTTTCTAAGCAACTAAACAGAATATATTCTATATTATGGGTCAGCTATTTGAAAGTAAAAAGTCTTGTGGGGGTGAAGCAAATTGATCATCCCAATGTCAAAGTCAAGATTGAAATTTTATTCTTTGATTGGCTATAAATAAAGATGTCAAAACATAGCAATGGCATCCCCAATAAAGCATGAAATCAAGAACAAGAAGAGAGATCTAACATGAAAATAAGAGTCTTGTTTGATAGCCAAGGATGACTTGCCTGCTCCTAGCCATTTTGGGTTGTGAGTATCATAAATAACCCTTATATGGGGGTTTCAGGCAGTCAACTTGGCTAGTTTGACAAGCTCTTTTTTGTCATGCTAGACCTTCTCTTCTATAAAGCATTTCTTCAATTCTTGGTGTGGAGATAGTGTTTATGCATATATTGGTATTATTTGAGAGGAAGAGAAGCCTTACATGAAGTAAAGAGTGTTGTTTGTTAGCCAAGGATGACTTGCCCACTCTCTATTAAATGGTTTCAATTCAATTTCTTTTGTTTTATTATTCAAAAACTTAATTTTTGGCTGTGGGCAGTCAACTTTGGCTATGCTGACACACTCTTCAATTTCATGCTAGGCTGATCTCTTCTTCACCAACAAATTCTCTGTTTAGATATAATGTCATTCATCAACTAATTGATAATTGAATATCAAGAGTTTATCTAAGAAGTTATTGTTTAAGGTAAATATAGTCTAAATATTTTTATAAGGTATTAATATAAATACAAATTAATTAATAGCTAATAGGAAAAAAGTTTCAAAAAAACAATTGGTGAAATCAATAATTAATTGAGATTTTCATTGGTTATTAGTAACTGATTAAAATTATTATAAAATATCTGATAACTGATTAAAATTATTACTAAATATCAGTATTGGCACAAATCAACTATGAACTGCGTAAAACAATTCCATCAAACATTCGCATACATCTATAATGTTCATGCCGAAAAGAATATGGACTATTAATCTTATAAGGCATAAATATTTATACAATTTTTTTTAAACATGTACTATTTTGAATTTTTGAAAAATAGTTTCTAATGAAAATGTTTTCTATCTTTCGAGGAAAATGTTGTTTTGAAAAATATTTTTTAAATAATTTATTATTCATTGTTTGATTGTAACATTGAAAAACAGTTTAAAAAATATTAAAATTTTTAATTTGTATAGACATAAAAATATTTACAATTAATTTTGTATTTTAAAAATTTATATTAAATATGAGAAAAATACATAAAAATGATAAATTATAACTGGTGATAAATATAAGAAAGATTATACTAAATTTGTTCACCTTAAAAAAATATTTTTCTCTCTTAAAAATAAAATGTCGGTTTTAAATAACTTTATTTTCCTTTTACAGCAAACTATGTTTTTTGATTGAAACTTTTTTAAGTACCCCAAACGTCGAAATTACTCTACGCAGAAGACACAAATCCCAACTCTGCCTTCGGTTTCTCTCTTGGAATTTTCTTTTTCATGCTATCAAATTCAAGCTATGGCTTTTAGTTTGTTTGGGCCATTAGAGCAGAGAAGATATCGCTTTCAATAGTTTTATTCTCTACCGTTTTGCAGAATCCCACTGTGATTCATCATCATCATCATCTACATTCATTATAATGAAAATGCGATACATTACTCGTGTCTATGCAGCCACTTCTCTCCTTCATGCCAACGCAGTTCGTGCTTTGGTAAAACACTTCTCTTGTTCGACAAAATGCTTAAAAGAAATACTTACATGAATTACAATGATGAGCCACCCGCAAACCAAAAACAATACATAGTCACTGAGATTCAAAGACCACAAAGGGATTAAACTGATATAGGGTAGGGGCCGCGCGAACGCAGGCCCCCACTGCCACAAATTATGACGTAGGCTCTCCCAACTTGGGGAGACCTTAGACCAGCACCCCTCCGAAGTGCAATGGAGGTCACTGATCTAGACCATGAGCCTTCTTGATCGCCCATTGATCCCGTCCAGGTAAGTATGTTTACAAGGTTTCTGCTCTTTCTATTTATACGTGCATGGCCTGCCTCGCTCCTTGCAAAGTATCGATGTGGGATGTTGTATCAGAGGCTACCATGAAAGAAAGAAAGAAAATTGTCAAGGCTAGCCAAGTTGACTGCCTGAAACTTAACACAAAGTGTTATGGTTATGATCTGAGATAAAGAGACCTGTTGTATAGATCAGGCAACAACTTTCTTCCTTTCACGAAAGGCACTCTTCTTTTTTCTCAAATGGCATTGCTCTTATTGATTAAGATTCTAAAATATTCAAGTTCAAGTATACTATTCTTCAATGTCTAACTAAGAAAGAAATCTCCTCATTCATACTTTGCATGCAATGCTTTCTCATAATAATTTGAGTGGAACTGCTTCAAGTTTGATGTTATATAATAATTTTTCAATTATTAGATTTAAAATTGTATTGCGATCGTAATAATTGTATTTATATCAATATAATTTTAAAGCTCATGGCTGATTATAATGACTAATTTTTATATATTTAAGTCTTTGGAGAATCCAACTCCTTCGACATAGAAGCATAAAATCCAGCTGTATGAAGAGCAGAAAACACTATCATTTTGCAGAATCTCACTATATTTTCCATGCCAACGGCTGATTAAAAGATGAACTACAACATGAAATATGATAATTGATGATAACAACCAAATAGGAAAATTGAACTTATTTAGGACAGGGGCCGCGCGAACGCAGGCCCCCACTACCACAAATTATGACGTAGGCTCTCCCAACTTGGGGAGACCTTAGACCAGCACCCCTCCAAAGTGCAATGGAGGTCACTAATCTAGACCATGAGCCTTATTGATCGCCCATTGATCCCGTCCAGGTAAGTATGTTTATAAGACTAATGCTCTTCCTATTTATATGCACTTGGCCTGCCTTGCTCTTTATAGAGTCTCGATGTGGGATATTGTGTCAGTGTAAAGAAGAGAGGCTATCATGAAAGAAAGAAATTTGTCAAGATGACTACCGAGCAACTTTCTTCTCTTCATGTGAGGCACTCGTCCTTTTTCTCTAATGGCATTGCTTGACTAAGATATTTTAAATTTAAAGATATTTTCATTCGTATTATAAAAATGAGAAGGTAATAAAGCTTCCACTCTAAACATTATCTGCAGAGAAGAATAAGTATTAAGGTATTAGCTAAGAAATGAACAGGAGACATGATTTCACCTTATTATGGTTGGTGAAGGATATCAATCAAAAGAAACTAATGTCGTCTTCCAATTCCTAATAATAATAAGAATTGGCTTTTGTCTCAGACCAAAAACTCCTAGTTCCACTCAAACCCAGCACTTAACCCAACCAGAAAACACAACTGTCCCATAATAATTTGAGATGTACCTAATTGATTGTGCATTTTTTAAAAAAATAATAATAATAAATTGTTAATCAAAATGTTATTTTGTCCACAGTACTTTTTAAATAATTCACCTTAATTTTTGTGTCACTTCCTACAAAATTTTTTTGAAAGAAACTAATGTTTGAAGGTTTTATGAAATATGAATGGATAAACATATCCTCAAAACTCAATTATTTTATAGTTCTAACCACTAATTTATATATAGCCTCTATGCACAGTAGTGACAAACAGATTCCAAGTACGTACTAATCAAACACTTAAATTAGAGATTAATCAAGATTAAATTATTTAATAACCAAATCATTTTTATTGAAACATAAAAAGAAGTACCATGTAAAATAAATTTTCATTAAATATCTCAAATAACTAGAATCACATTTTAATATTTAAAAATAAATGAGGTCATAATTACCAACTTTCAATAATAACATTTTCCTTTCTCTGAAGTTTTACCCTTCCCAAACAAAAACTAAGGAGAGAAAATTCATAATTCCTTATAATTGTCCTTCGTATCCTTTCCTAACCTTTCCAGACAAAGTGCTAATGAATAACAAAAAACATTAACATTCGACTGGCAAATTTGACAAATTACTGAACAGAAATTATCGGTATTCACAAATCATAATATGTACAGTTGACGGGCTCTCCAAATTTCACTAGTTATCTGAATCCTCGATGGGTTAGACTGGCAAGGGAACTATAATTATTTCAATACTATAAATTTTTAATTGTTCATGTAACAACAAAAAAGAACGCCCAACACTCAATTGTCATGTATATTTAACTTGTTGTTATAGCAAAAATGACATATCTCTTGCCCACGACTTAAATGAGGAAGAGAAAGTGATCTCATCAGAACTTTATCATCCGAAATTGCTGCTTCTTGGTAAGAATAAAAAGGGCTTCGTGCCTTTCAACAACAGCAGCTTCAAATACATCTCCTAAAAATACGTCAGATTATGTATTTATGTTTTTTTAACATTAGCCCCAACCTCAACGTCTGAAGAAGAAACCTTGTTGCCTCTGTTCTTGCATTCGCCTGTATCATCATTCAACAAAATTAGAATGTCATTTTGTGCAAAATAATTTGGAGTTGGCTTTCTAATCATTGCCAGCCAGCCAGCCTTCAAATATCCCCATATAAAATTTGACATAAACGATAGGCAAGCAAGAAAATATCCCCATATCCCCATATAATTTGGAGTTGGCTTTCCAATCACCTCTGAGTTTCCTTGGATCGTTCCTTGAACTCTTTTGCAATATCCTGCCTGTCATAAGATGCTAGCACTTTTCTGATATCAGCTGGACTTGCACGAGCAACATCTGCAATGCATAAACGAACCACGTATTAACTGTTTATGTTAGAGATTGCATTCCTTCTTTTAGATACTGGGATCCATTCAAGAAAATTGGTTTGCCCTTCAAGATGCAAATAACAAAGGATCACAAACATTTAAACAAAATTATGTAACATATGCTTACATTCAAGAAAGGGAATGAGATCCAAAAGTGTTGTATCCACAGATTCATCTCCTTTCTCATCAATCTTAAATGGCTTGATTTGGACACCATTCTCTGGCTGAAGGCTGTTTTCAAATGCATGAGCACTCACATATATGATCTTACCTGGGTCTCTATTGAGTTTTGAGAGATCCTGAAAATAACATTTACATCAAATATCATTATCAGTTTCACAAAGTAATGGCTCTAGAACAGCAAGAAGTGTTTATTCAAAATAAACAAAATAAAATAAGCTTGCATCAAGGGGGAAAAAAATCTTCCAAAGTTACTGCCAACACAGACTATACCTTTTTCTGGCAAGTGCCAACACAAAATTGTACATCACTAACAAGGCTTAATTTCACCTGTGTTCTCTAAATTTATCACCAAGTTACTTTGTGGTCACACAAATTCAAATTAGTCAAAGAAAAATGGTAAGTTCTTTGTGGACTTCATTGAGACACTAGTATCTAAGCCAGCAAGAAGTCGGTGAATGAGGCTGCAATTTAATGCAACTCAACTCTTTAGTGGCACCTAATCATTCTCCCTCTCTAAAATGTTTCCTATATCTTGCTTGACCTGAAAAATAGCCAGATTCAGCAAACAGAAATTTGTCTCCCAACACACTAACAAAGGAGTGAGTAACCAATGAGGCTAGTTCCCAATCGCAATCATGGATTTCGTTTGGAATGTGCTAACACTTTGCAATCAAAGCGATCAGTTGGTAGAGCCAAATGCCTAGTTTTAAATTTTTCTAGTGACAATTGTAGCTTGGTCTACACATCTTTCAAGTCAAGTGAGAAAGGTTTTTTTTTTTTTCTTTTTTACCTGGAGCAGAGAGTGGAGGATGAGGAGTTACACAGAGAGGGGTTAGGGCTAACAAAAGAGTTTAGATGTACTAAAAAGTTAAAAAATGATGCCTTGTCACTGGTTTGTGGCCAAATTCTAGTTCCATTTGAAACCCACTTAGAGCCTTAGTTATTTTTCCATAAACAGTTGAATTTAGGCGACCACAAAGAAATCTTAGAATTGATTTTAGTAGCTATACGTGAAATTAAGCTTGCATAAATGATACATGGTAACAATTATAATTGCAGATGATGAACCAAAAGGGGAAGAAATGCCAAATTAAAGAAAACAAATCTGGAAGTTAATTGTTTCATTGAGTGATGAAGTTGTCTCTCTTTCATTCTTCCCTTAGTTTTGAACTCAAACAAAGTATACACACATTTTATTCGAGTGAAGAACACATGAACTCCTATCCATCTCCTAGTTCTCCATGCAACATATTATAGAGCAAGCAACTCTAAAATAAATGCGCAGGAAATTCTGGTTCCAAGAAATACTTCCCATGCAAAATAATGCCATTCAACTAACTAACAGAAACATACTAATGACACTAGAATTGCTAAAAAACACACTTACACTGAGGAAACTGCAGACAAGGAACTGAAACAGAATTTCATCTACTTAATCTCGTTTGGAAGACAAAAAATCTCACAACAATTTAACATGAATTTATGAATAGCGCGTATTGAAAGGCAATAGATCAACATTAAAGCCAAAGCCTTTGTGATGCAATAAGCAAGCACAGAAGAGCCTGCTCAACATTTATAACTGGACAAGCAATAGAATATTTTTTATGCCTGTCACAATAAGACATGCTAGATATTCACTTTCAAATACCACGAATCCAATCAAGGGAATGCCAGCATTACAAGTGTCAGTAAAAACTGGAAACTAGTAGAAGCTGGTAATTTCAAACATATAAACAAATGTGAGATGCATTTCAAATACACATCTTCACGCAATCAGTGCAAATGAAAAAAATATTTTATGGTAGAATGGCCTGAAGAAGCAATAAACAATACATACTCTATAGTGCTTGCCATCCTGATACTTGGTAGCACCCCTTGATAGCCTATATCGTATACAGTGGTTGGTGTCCAACCTTTCAATAACAGGATCGACATACTGCACGAATAAAAATAAACTCATATGAAAGTGAATTTGAAGAATATAGGACCATGCTCAACTGAAAATAGGGAGTGAAGTGACCTAATATGGATTAAGATTACCATATTCAGCTGGTCAGAATACACCACAACTTCATACAACCTTGCAAGGTGTTGCAAGAAGTCATCGACTCCAGGTCTTTTGAAAGTTCGCCAGCCTCTATCACGCTGTAGATGACAAGAAAAGAAGATATCGTTCTTACAATCATATCAGATACAAGTCCTTCATGCACATATTGACAAGATTAACTGTAAGTTCTAAATTTTCTATGTAAAACAGAAACAGACATCAGAGAGTTAAATACAATTTGTTTCTCTGAAGCCATTACTTCTGAAACAACATTCCGGAACCAAATGAATTTTACAAGAATAAACAAAGCTTCAAATTCTACCATGAAAAGGATCAAAAGAGGTTTTCCAAAATCATTTTTCCACTTAAGACCATACCTTCCAATCACTGTAAATAATCGTCTCATTAAGATCCAAAACAAGTGTAAAAACATGTTGCTCGGAGGGATGCAAATCAGGTAGAAGCTTATCTGAGGTAGGTTCAGTAAAACCCTACACAAAGCAAAAAATTCATGACCAATAATAAAAAAACAGAGAAAAATGGATTTTAATATAAGATGGCATACATAGCATTATTAGACTCACTTTAACTTGCTCTTCAATCGTCCTCCTCAGGTCCAAGTAAAGTTCAACTGCTTTAGCAGGGACTGACATGATATAGGCAGACAAATGACATCATATGATGCCAATGATATTAAAAACTCAAAATAGAAGCAGAAAAAGGGTAGTTGGCACAATGCAATAAAAGTACAGCACAAGATCACTATTAAACTGTTGTTTAGTAGCTTGAAGGCCATCAAGTAAAAAGTCCAACCACCCACCCACTATCCTGGCAGATGTGCTCTAACTTAATAGCTGAGAAGAAGGCGCCTAAGGAAATCCTCACTTTGGCTGCTGTCCCAACTTAATAACAGCTGACTGTTAAGTCTTAACTAGAGAATCTACAAGCTAATGTAAATGCAAGGCAAAGCTTCCATCAGATACTCAAATTTTATAGCTGAGTAGTAGATATTGGGGAAAATTCTTTGCTTGATAATACAAGGACAAAAAGTAAATACAGTGAGCTAAAGTTTTTTTTTTTTTTTTTCCTTTTTTGGGGAAGGCTAGCTAGAACTTTTACATTGAGGTTGTTGAATGACATGACATATACAGTGAGTCTTGACAACTCAGTATTCCGTATTTCAGAGATGCTGAATGTTCTCTTTCCCCTGTTGATATGTGTTGAGAATAAAGGAAAATTCTAACACCACTTGTAAAATTTATATAACAAGATGGAGAGTAGGAATTTCAAGTGATTGGGGAAAAAAATTTGGTGGATGACCAACACTCCAAGTCAGAAAAAGTGAATGATAATGAATGAAATGAATTTGATGTACCGAAGCTAATGTCCTCAGATGCAACAAAAATCTTAGGAGAAAATAATGCACTTCGTACAAAATATGAAACAAGGAGCAAATGTATGTCAATAAATATCACAACAAAGTTTATAGAGAGAAAATGGTAGGGGATTTCACCTGTCATTGCAGCAGAATAGAGCAAAGCCTGATACTTCTGCACAAGAGAATTAGTAAAGAAGGTCAATGTTTTGTGCCATTTCTCCAAGCGTTATTAGTCAAGACAATTCAACAACCATTAGACTTAATCCCTCAGTATATTTAAGGCAGAGTTAAAGAAATATTAAGACGAAACTCTGAATTAGACTAACCTCAATGGAGGATGCATCTTCACCAGCCTTATAGTTTGTAGATTCTCTCAATGCCTTCGTCTTCTCCTCTACTTGATCCAATGAATAAGCTGCAAAAAACGTAAAGAAGTAATATTGTTTTCAATTATCAAGAATCAATAACCGAAGAATGAAATTAATCTTAGATAATCGAATAATAGTAAATGGATTTGCAAATTCATTTAACTGAAAACAAAAATTAATACAAACCGTAAGTTGCGTAGCCAGCATAACCAGCAGCTCCAGTGAGAGAAGAAATGATCCCATACTTCAAAAAACTCCAACCTTTCTTCTCCGAGCCCGACGCTGCAGCCTCAGCCGCTGGCTCCGCCGCAGGCGCTACCGTCTCCGCGGCTTGATCGGGGATGATAGACTGAGAAGAGATGATCGACTCTTTGTCTACGTTTGAGCTAAAAAACCGCCGATCAGGTTTCCTATTTCTCAACAGTATTGAAAAAATGCGAGATCGAGGTACAATTGAAGCCATTGTTAGGGCTTTTCAAGGTTTTGGGAAGTTTAGGGTTTAAATAGGGTTTTGGATGAGTTTGCGTGGGATTTTGGGAGAGAGAAAACTCGAGTGTGCGTCCTATTACAGCAGCTGTGAAATTTTGAGCATGTTATCTATGATAATTAGCATCAGCGAGATAACTACTGAGTAACAGGTCAAAATGGAGAACCGAACCGTTTAAACCGGACGGCGTTAAAAGGACAGTTTTTTTATATTTTTTTGTTTGGGTTTATTTTGTGCTTTTAGAAGGTTGCTCTATTTTTTTTGTTCAATGAAGTCCTAATTTCATTTTATGTAATACTATATTTTATAGTTTATTGGAACATAATTTATAAGATTTACCACTTTAACAATTCGTGAATTAATCAAGTTCAAATCAAATAATTAATAGATCCCGAAGTTTTTAATCAAGTCAAATTCAAGTAATTAATGCCTGAATTCACTAAACTTAATTTGATTAACCCGTAATTGTGATTGAGATAAAAGAAAAATAAGAGCCAAGTAGCGCTAATATGTAAAATTGGCCAAATGAATGGAGTTGCTTTAGTTTATTTTGAATTTAAAAATATTAGGTAATGTTTGGTTGGAGGCAAGTAAATTAGAAAAACATATAAAATCTTATTTTAGATTCCATTATCAATTTTACCTCCGGGAAAAGTAGATCATCTAATTTCCTTTGCACCAAGTAAGTTTTTCAAGAATGGCTAGGGAAGTTCTTCCCTAGTTAATTGCAGTAAAATTTACCAATTTATCATATTATTTAAATACATTTAACATTACATTATATATATTATTATATTTTGTAAATTGTAATTTGAGAGCAATTTAGGAAATTGATTTGCACATTAAACACATTCAAAGTATACTTCCTCCAAAATAATATCCTTGAAGGTGGATGATTTTGAACCAAAAGTGGCTCGTTTTAATAAAAATCTACTGGCTAATAAGAAAAAGCCAAAAATCTAGAATCATATAATAGCAATTAGAAATTCTAGGTAATTGATCAAAATCTAAATTTGTTCCCCTCTTTACATTTCTGAATCAACTCAGGCCTGCAACTGCTTACACTTGCTTTAGTTCTTGTGCATTTGCCAAATGTTTCTTTCCATTAAGGTGAGAATCCATGTTTCCTTCACTGCTGCAGCTTATCTTACAAATGCTACACCACCAATTATTTCTAACTTCAACAATTCTACTTTTCAGGCTTTCTTCCACTGAAGCAGCTGGCAAAACCTCACATTCCAGCATCCGGTTCATGGATTTAACCCTTTCACAAGCGTTCCTGTGTCGCTTTCCTTCAAGATGTGAAACAAGGATTTTCTCACTTGCAATTGTTACCCTGCATATGCCACAAGTCCATGGATTCATGTGAATACTGTTAGCTGCTAATGCTTCAGTTGCCAGTTTTTCTTTCTTCTCTAGAGTATCAACCGCTGTCTCTGATAATTCTTGGAAAATCTTGGCTTTCAGCTTCTGAAGTTTATTCATATGTCGATTTCCTTGAAAATGAGAAACAAGATCCATCTTACTTGTTGATGTTACTTGACATACAAAGCAAGTCCATGTGTTCAGTGTGCTCTTGAATTGTAAATTTGCCATTTCTTTGATACCCAGAACCTTGCTCTTCGATGCCTGGCTTCTGCAGGGGTTTAGTTTCTCACAAGTTTTCTCGTGTCTCTTTCCATTAAGATGTGAAATAAGATTTGCCTCGCATGTAGTTCTTACCTGACATAGAGCACAACTCCACTCCTTTAGTGGGTTCTTAAAAGGCAATATCCCACTGGAAAGATCTCTACTTGTTCTTCCATTTCCTGATGAAGCATTTTCGATTTGTCCAAACTGAAAACGTGGTGAAATGGAAGAAAAGATCACAAAAACATGAAAGAACTGTAAAAAATTTAATTACTAGATTACAAAAAGGTTGAATGATTTGACAGGCATGAAAGAACTGTAAAAAACTTTACCTGAATGGTTGAGACAAATTCTTTCTCCTCTGTTCTCTCCAAAGCATAATTATTATTGTCTTTCTGCCCAACTTTAGGTTCTTCAAACTCTGCCTGCATTTAGCATTAGCAACATTATATTTCCATATCACAAATTTCTGATTCACAGGCTCATTTAGCACCATATTACATGCATTATACCTTGAAAGCAATGAGGTTCTCCAAAGATTTCGCACCAGTTCGTTTTGCATCTCTATTGACCTGCTGAACTAGTTCTTCGTCTTGCTTTAAGAAAACCTTCTGATTGGCAAATCGGTAAATAGAGAGGCATGGATGAACAAAGCGTTTATAGACAAAGAAAGAACCATCAAAGTCAGGTGTAAGCAAGTAGAAAACAATAACCAGCTTAACGTGAGTCCAACAGGGTAGCCTGGCATATGCAAAAATAAATAAATAAATAAACATTAAAGCTTTGACTGAACAATTCTGAACTCGTCTACAGAGACTTGAGATTGTAAATTTAAACCCCCAGTCGAAGTCAAAATACAACAGAAAAAAAAAGAAGGGAAGAAGCAAAATTAATCACCATAGTAGTAGCTTGTGAAAAGCATGTTCAAACAGCAAAATCAAAGATAAGCAGACCCAGTAAGTGATCAACTTCTGGGTGGCTGAGGTTGAGATTGAGTCAGTCTCAATTGCTTCAATGGAAACACATCTGTCAATTAATTAAACAATTTAACTGTTAAATCATGCTAAAAAATAATCAGTTTATTGGTTATGCTCAAACAAAATGTTTATTTAGCATTTTATTAAAGAAAATTAAACTGAATATAAATTTAAATGAAGCTGAAATAAAAGAGAAATATAGACTCACAACGGGTAACCCAAAGCAATGAGAGGCCTGAAAGTAGAACAAAAATAATTAGAGTCAAAACACAGGTTAAACCCATAAACAAGAAAACAAAAGGAAAATCAACAGTGCAGAAGTACTTATTGGGACATAAACGAAGAACTTAGTAATTGCAAGTCAACTAATCATTAAGCATGTAAAAACTGAGAATTCTACCAATTACCCAGAAGAAGAAAAGATGATATCTTTCTAAAAGAAAAGGAAAGAAAATTTCACAAGCTAAAACGTGTTTGACATACCAAGCAAAAACATGAAAGCATTCCAATGAGAACTTGAAGAAAAGACCCATAAAACCCATCTTCTTTGAAAGAGTCCAGCCTCTCTAGAGAGATTTACTTAGCTTAAGTAAAGAAGGAAAAAGTAAAGCAAATGCTAACTGTTCTACTGGGAAGTGAAGCAGTCGACTTCTTGAACCTTTATTCTCGAAATTGCCAATTTGCCATCTGTTGTGCGGTACCACTTAAGTGGGACCCACATGCTTTAAAAAAGAAAAAAAAAAAAAAAACGTGTTGTACGCGTTATTAACGCTTGCTCTTCTTCTATAAATAGAAGTAAGTGTGCAGCTCACAAAACCCAAAGCAGCAAGATTACAGAAGTGCATTGCTCTGTCAAGAACCGTGGAATTTATAACACTAACAGAAGTGCGTTGCTCTATCAAAATAGATCAGATATATTGACGAAGATTCTTTCAAAAGAAAAGTTCGAATACTGTCGGTTAGCTGCAGGAATAATGATGGCTAATGTTTCCACTTAAGTGTGCAGAGAAAAATAATGATGGCTAATGTTCCCACTTAAGTGTACAGGGGAGAATTGTTGTGCGGTGCCCACTTAAGTGGGACCCACATGCTTTAAAAAAGAAAAAAAAAAGGAAAAACGTGTTGGAATAACGTGTCAGTCGGTGGACACGTTAATTAACGCGTCCTCTTCTCCTATAAATAGGAGAATTTAGCAGCTCACAAAACACACAGCAAAAAGAAGAAAAAAAAAGAGAGAGTTAGGATTTCCTAAAACTAGGGGAGAGAAAAATAATGAGGAAATTATTATGGGTTGTTTTTTGGGAAACACTTTGAGTGACACTATATAAGCCTACTATTTATAATAGTAGAAGAACTATTTGGAGTTGGTCCCGTGACGTAACCCTAATTTCTGTGTGTCACTTTTTTATTTTTTCGCTACATTAATTTTCTCATAGTTACCTGAAAGGGCTCAACACCCTCTATTATGCTAGTTATAATTAATCACTCAAGTTTCTTGGTCGGCGGATGTTGAGTGTATATTGAGAAATTATTATATTTCCAAAGGAAAATTAATTAACTGCTATTTTCCTGTAAAATTAAATGAATTAAACAGCTAATCAATCTTTCCGTCACGGCGACATGTGTATGCAGCCAACCCCAAGAAACCAGTTTCATTTTTTTTTTTTTTTTTTGAAAAAATAAATCGAAATAGAAATCAAAAGGATATAGTTTGATGTCGCATTTTAAAGTTAAATAATAAAGTAGCAGTAGTTTTTAACTAAAAAAAAAAATTAATTTGCCATTTCATTGTATTTCAATAACACATTTTGAAAAATAATTTCTAAAATCTAATTTGAGAATAGAAGTTTTATTAATTAGAGTGACTACAATAAAATTAGGAGGCGCATTAAATAGGATTTGATGTAGAATGAGTTATCTTAGCTAATAAATGAGTAACATTGTTTGCATACCTAATAAAATTAAAGGAAATCGAATCAATATCTGTAGGTAAATAGAATTTTCTAAATTTATTGGTGAAATAGAATATATGCATACATATAAAGCATAAACATAATAAAATTCAACATGAGCATAAACTATCTGAAATTTTTCTATTATGCATGCATAAACCATGCAAAGTAATTGATCAAGTAAATATTATTTGGCAGGCAGGCAATGCCAATGTCAATTGTTACTGATTGATGAAACCACTTGCACCAAATTCTTGAAATCTTGGGCAGCATTTCCATTTGGAGCAGCAGCTTTCAAAATAAGCTCTTGTAAGTCTTTAACCTTTCTTCTTATTTCTTTCCCATCTTCATGTTCCAAAATAAAATTCAAATTCTTAATTAGACCTTTTTTGGTAAACACTCCACCATCAACTCTAACACCAGTCTCCCATATCTCCTCTACTATTCTTGCATTTATCATATTATCAGCAAAAACTGGCCTACAAATCATTGGAACACCATTTGCTGTACTCTCATACACAGAATTAGCTCCACAATGCGTCACATAAACACCAACTGAACTATGTGCTAATACCTGAGTTTGTGGCGCCCATGAAACCACTTTTCCATGCCAATTAGTCATCTCAAGGAACCCATTTGGTAAATTTTCTCTTAGATTATCTCTAATTGACCAAAGAAATGGCATTTTACTTTCTTCTAATGCATTTGCCAATTCTCTGATCTCATTAGGAGGGATACCGACAACAGTTCCGAAGCTAATATAAGCAACAGACATTGTTTTTTGGGTATCTAACCATGAAAGACAACCGGTAGCATCTGTATTTGACAATGGCAATGGTGGTGGTGGCATTGTTAGGGTGACAAAACCCACATTATGCATTATCGGAATCTTGGATTTAAGATCATTTTTCCGAAGCATAATATTAAGCAACAGACATGTTGTTTTTTTGGGTATCTAACCCATGAGACAACCCGGTTAGGCAATCTTTGTTAAATTTGACAAGCTAATATAAGCAACAGACATTGTTTTTTGGGTATCTAACCATGAAAGACAACCGGTAGCATCTGTATTTGACAATGGCAATGGTGGCGGTGGCATTGTTAGGGTGACAAAACCCACATTAAGCATTATCGGAATCTTGGATTTAAGATCATCTAATAAGGGTTTAGGGTATAGTTCTTGGTAAAAATTCATTGCAAGAGCAGTAGCTTGTGGAAGCACATGACCCATTTGACCTAACATGCAAGATAATAGAGTTTCTTCGTTAATTTCATCAGGTAAATCCTCAACTCTTATTTCAGCTAAACCAGGAATATTTTCTAGGGTTTTCGACTCCCTATTTCTATGATTACCATTCTTACCATCACCAGAAGTGAAATAGTACTGACGTAGTGTGTCAGTATAAATGTGCACAGAGAGAGAATGGGGGACAGGTATCCAAACTGGAATCCAAGAAACATTAAAATCATTAACCATTGCACCTGCAAAAGCCAAGAAAGCATCTGTTATCAAGCAATTAATTCGACCCATCTCTGTCACTGCTAATTCAAGTCCTTGTTTGTAGTTCTCTGGGGTGGCTTTTATGAAGAGGTCCAATCTTTCTATTGGATGTCCTGAAAAGACATGATTTAAGGGCACTCCATCTCCAACACTGTAGGGTTTTATGTTTCTAGGGAGATTATTGGCTTCGGATGCCGAGAAAAGATAGTTGTTGGAGTTCGCTAAGTTGAAGAATGAAAACTGTATGTCTGGGACTGCCATTGCTAGCTTCTTGACTGGGTTGAGAAGAGCCAGAGGATGGCAGCCAAATGGGAATGCCAAGACAGCAACATGTTTTTTCAGTTTGGTTGGTATTGTGGAATTTTCCATTGGATTAACTGAGCGGCAACCTGAGAATATTTAAGATTAATTAACTAAGAGACTGTATAAATTACATCAAATAAAATCATTTGCAGAATAAGAAAAAATATAATTGGAATCAAATCTTTGCAAAATATCAAAATATATTACATTTTGGGATGTTCCAAAATAGTTGTCCACTTTTAAAGTAATTTTACTGTAACAGCAAATCCACCCTCATCTTGAAACCGTTGTTAAAGAAGAAGAAAGAAAAGCAGTTATAGATTTTAACTTCATACCATTAACAACAAAATTAAATGGAGATTTGTAATTAATAAAAGAGGTTTCGTCTTGGAAAATTAATTAGATCAGTTACATTTTCAAAGCAATTCGAACTCTTCCTCTCAAGTGGTGACAAGTCCAAAAGTCTTTAGGAATTTAGTTACGAGACATGCAATGCTCGGAGCATCCTCAACTGTGAAGAAATCAAGAGGTCAAAAGCTTGGGCACAGAGAAATGGAAGAACATAAAGAATTTCTCTTCCTCAAAGTGTGACGCGTTTGAAGCATTTTGTGTCTGCAACTTGATTTATAGACAAGTGAATACTCATTACTCGTGCAATTGGGCCGCCATTAAAATATATCTCTAGTATTCACTCTTCCGAAGTCCATTGATCTAGATTCGCGCTAGCACATGAATACAAACAAAGCATTCTCTCTTCTTTATTTAAAGAGACTTTATATCTATGGTTAAAACTCGAAAATTTTAAAGAAAAAGAACAGATCATTTTTATATGAACTGAGCGGCTCCCTTTTATGATATTTGAAGTATTAGAATAATATCTTTCCAATTTTTTTTTTTAAATTTTATTTTGAAAAGAAAAATTTTAGCTTTTCCATTTAAGGACCGGCCCTTTTTCCCATTTAATTTCGTTGAAAGAATATTTTAGCCTTTAAAATGATTGGTCTTCCACTAATAAAAAAAATTATTACTATAATTACATTACCCTTTACATAAGACTAGAATTAAGAACCTACTTTGCTTTAAGACTGGAGCACCAATATATCTAAGTTTCAATATTGAAGTACGCGAGGTACAAAAATCAAAATAGAGTGATTTTGCAATAAGTCATAAAGTTCAGAGTATTTTTATAGTTTAAGCTTATATATACCACATTCATCCCATTTTAAGTGCTTTTAAAGTAACTAATTTTATTTTTATTACGTTTGTTGCATATTTACTATGTTCGTTATATACTCAATTTTTATACTATTTTAATTTTTTTATCTATATAATATTAAAGTATAAATTTTTGTTTAGATTTAAATATTTATTATCAAGTTATGTCTTGATGTACAATCATTACTTATTTTTAAATTGAATCAAAATATTAATATAGTTGGATCGGTGAAATTAAATTGCATCCTTAATTTTAAATCAAATAAAATTTTGTATCATCCTTTCTTATTATAAGCTTCATCTTTCTTTTTTTATGGAATAAAAATAATAGTCAAATATAATATAATGTAAATATGTATTTATACTAAAATATAATTGATTACTTTTTAGTATAATATTTACACTAATTATTCTAATTCAGAATTAGAATTATTGATGATCCCAAGTTAAATTTTTTTTTTCACAAAATTATTCATTTGGGTAGCCATTAATAGTAATTAAGTATTTGAAATTTAATAATATGTGATTATTGAACTTAAATATCAAATTCAAATTCATAATTATGTAAAATAATTATTTATTGTACTGGATTCTAAGTACATACTGGTCAATGTCTTTTTATAGTAAGGTAGGACAAAAGTCAATCTGTATATCAATTAATCACCTTAACGATTATTCATTTGGGTAGCCATTAATAGTAATTAAGTATTTGAAATTTAATAATATGTGATTATTGAACTTAAATATCAAATTCAAATTCATAATTATGTAAAATAATTATTTATTGTACTGGATTCTAAGTACATACTGGTCAATGTCTTTTTATAGTAAGGTAGGACAAAAGTCAATCTGTATATCAATTAATCACCTTAACGATTATTGATGGAATTTCCTCAACAAGGTTTTGTGTTCGAGCCTCTTTTAGCGATCCCATGAGTCATTTCTTATGTACATAATTCTATTTTTATTTAAAGAAGTAGTCTCAAAATAAAATTCAAAATTAATCCCTAAATATAATCCTTCAGTTCTTAATTTATAAATATAGATTCTTAATTAACCATCTGCCCTAAGAAAATTAAGTCATCATTAAATCTTCAACCCTCTGCCTTTAACCCCTAATAAATATCTATATACAAGCATAATGAAAAATAATAATACTTTCTAAAAAAAAAAATTATTTTTATCGCAAGGTAAAAGAAAATCTCATTATTCCTCCCAACTTATTTCCACATTTATATATAATGTAGAAGTATAGATTGATAGGAAAGAATCAAAAGATAATTAGATAGCATCAAATTAATTAAATATTTTTTTATGAATTTTTTTTATTCATTTTTATCAGTCATTTAAAAATCTACTTTATCTTTAGAAATTGTGATAATGTGAAAGATAACGTCCAGGAAAAAAAAATCTTTTTAAAGAAATAATTATAATAAAGGCAACTAGATGATTGAGTATGGTTGCACCGTGAGAATAGAAAGTCAAGGACATTATCTGATGGGAAACTTTAAAATAAAAAAAAAAAAAAAATTTCACCTTTTTAATCTTTTTTTTTTTACATAAGAAAAGAAAAATAAAAATTAAGAACTATATCACCTTAATAAGCTATCAAATATTAATTTTTTTTATTTTGTTAAAAATATCTTCGGATCAAATGATTTATACTATTGCCAGGGCTGTTATATAAAGATTTTAATTAATTATGTTTTATTTATATAATACATTAAAATAGAAATATATAATGTATTTACCTTTAAAAATTTTTTTAAAAAAAACTGTACTACGTGATAATTTATGAAAGTAATTAATCATCATTTTACATTTCAACAGTAGTTACTGAGCAACAAATTTCACCAAACATACAATATTCATCAGCTATAGCTATCAACTTCCATTTTATCATCCAGTAATATAATAGTATCACTTGTTGTTTACATTGATGGTCATGAGATCAAACTGCGATCGATGCAGTTTTTAGTTTTTTTAGTTTAATTTTTTACGTATTTTTAGTTAGTTATTTTAATTAGTTCTCGTATATAAAAGCAATTTTAGTTAATTTTTATATAGATTTAGTTAGTTTAAATATATAAATAAGCACACAAGATCACACAATTTTTATAAATTATTTTTACCAATGACTTATATCATTAATTTTAATTTTAAATTATTTAATTTTACATTCTTTTATAAATTTTAGTTTTCAATCTAATTTTATTCTATGAATATATAAAATCCATGTTAATATCTATATCTATATATTTATATAATCCTAAAATAAAAAATATTATTATGAAGCTGACATAAACTTTATTCATTAATTAGGATCTCTATTTCTCTTATTTTTACACTTTTTTTCTTTTTTTAGTATAATTTTTCTGTATTTCTACAATTTTATTGGCTTTTAAAATATTTTTAAATTTAAAAATTAATATTTTAGGATAATAAACAATGCTTTTAAAATTTCATCTTATCTTCTAAAATATCCTCCTATCAACATGGTTCCAGCAGCTGGAACAATGATCAAGTATTTAAGAATATTATTTCTAGCAATTGTAATATTTAGAAGTAATTAAATTATTGTATCTAATTCTATTTCTTCTGTCTTTGAATATATTTTTATTTTTATGCGTTGTTTTTATATCTGAATTTTTAAAAGCTCTAAAACAAGATTATTATTATTATTATTACTATTACTATTAAGACCTCCTTTACTATAGTTCTTTTGCAATACATTTTTTTTATTATGGGGATAAATAAAAATTCATATCAGAGGCTTGAATCACTATTGAAGAGAAAGCAATTGCCTTTTCCATGGCTCCTAACAATAAATTCTTTGATCCAAAAAGTGTTAGTTGGCATTTTGTCAATGGTTATTATTAGCAATTTTTTGAATTAATTTCTTTATTACTAAAAAAATTATATATTTAAATTTTTGGTTATTTAGAATTTATAAAATAATTGATTAAAATTTTTATTTAGATATTATGAATTTGAATTTGAGTTTTATATAATGTATTCATAAATTCATATATTATAGGTTTAAAAAAAACTACTAAGCATAAGACGCACAAGAGCTTTTAGAACTCCTTTATTCTAGGTTTTTTTTTAAAAAAAATTTTATTTACAGTCTGAAATTAGGCCTTCAAAATTCTTAAATTTCATTTTTTTTTCAAATTTTTAAATAACATATAACTATGACTTTCTTTTGTGTAAAATTCCTATTTTTTAATCTATTTAAATTGTATATGTTAAAAATTAAACTGAAGTATTTTTTATTTGGATTAGTATATGTTAATATAATATTTTTTTATTTTTCTATGTTTGATAAAAATAATATTTAATAATAATTATTATATTATATTATACTGTTAAGTAATTAAATTAAAATATTATTTAGCTATATATTATCCATATTGAATTATTTGAAAGGTAGAACTTTATCTATATATACGATTTTTAAATTATTTGAATTATAAACTTTAATCGAAACTTAACCTGATTAATTGAGTTTTTTAATTATTTAAAATAAATTAATATAATCTAATAAAACAACCTACGCAATATACTAATTCCGATTTATAAAATACAATAACAATAAAACAACTCATAGCAAAATAAATCATACACTATCAAAAGCACTACCCGCAAATCCCGGACCTTCAGGTAGTTAAAATATATAATAGTATTATAATTTTATGTTTTTAATTATTTATTATTGGTTATTTAATTAAAACTTAACAACTTAAAAAAAATTATAATTTTAAATTCATTGAATAAATACATGATATTTAATTTATTCAAAGAGATGGATTTAATATTATAATTCATGATTCCATTTTAATTGTTTTTAGAAAATGATATGAAATTGAATTGATTGAATTTTAAAATTACAATAACATATTTAAAATTTTAAATATTAATAATTTTTTAATTGTTTTTAGAAAAGATAATGAAAATTGAATTGATATTGAATTTAAAAATTAGCAATAAACATAATTTTAAAATTTTAAATATTAATAATTATTTTCATTAAATTACAATAACATATTTAAAATTTTAAATATTAATAATTATTTTCATTGTAATTTCTAATATGCAAATTTTAGAAAATTATTTCTTTCCTATTGAAAGTCATTATGTATACTAAAAAAATTTCTATTATTTTGTTGTCATTTATACTATTTGCATTAGAAAAAAAATTTAAACAAATATAATATATTTGTTTATGTTATTTTAATATTTTTAAGCATTTTTAAATCAAGTATATTTTTTATTTGTCATGAAATGACAAATATATTTCGCTCCTATGAAAAAATTCTGGCTCCGTCATTATCAATTATTAACTACTGAATAACTAAACTAAACAACAAATCCTAAACTGGATTAAACTAATTCGATTAAATTCAATATAGTTTGTAACAACGAATTAGTTAGTTTGATTATTTTTTACAAAAATTCAGTTTATTTGATTTACATTGATCTAATTCAATTTGAACAAATAGATCGAATGTTCACTCTTAACCTTAAGTTATTATGAAATTATTACCCAAAGAAAAAACAAAGGAGATTTTAATATTTTTCAAACAAAATTGAAAAAGAATAATGATTCCATAATCAGAACAATGATATAAAATTTTTTTTTTTCTCACGAATAATGATATGATAAATTTTTTTCTATTGAATATGACAAATTCAATAAATTTCTAAATTTATTGGTACAGCCTTTATAATATTACATATAGAGCACAAATATAACTGAATTCAATAGAGGAGCCGAAGCTATCTGAAATTTATTTATGCATACCGTAAACAAACTAACTGATATGGTAATTGTTAATTCAGGTTCAGGTGATACTAATTTGAAGAGAGCATTTCCACCAAAATTTTGAAATCTTGAGCAGCATTTCCAGTTGGAGCAGCGGCTTTCAAAATAAGCTCTTGTAGGTCTTTAACCTTTCTTCTTAGTCCTTTCCCATCTTCATGTTCCAAGATGAACTTTAAATTCTTGATTACTCCATTTTTTGTGAACACTCCACCATCAACTCTAACACCAGTCTCCCATATCTCCTCTACTATTCTTGCATTTATCATATGATCAGCAAAAACTGGCCTACAAATCACTGGAACACCATTTGCCATACTCTCATACACAGAATTAGCTCCACAGTGCGTCACATAAACACCAACTGAACTATGTGCTAATACCTGAGTTTGTGGCGCCCATGAAACCACTTTTCCATGCCAATTAGTCATTTCAAGGAATCCATTTGGTAAATTTTCTCTTAGATTATCTCTAATTGACCAAAGAAATGGAATTTTACTTTCTTCTAATGCATTTGCCAATTCTTTGATCTCATTAGGAGGGATACCGGCAACAGTTCCAAAGCTAATATAAGCAACAGACATTGTTTTTTGGGTATCTAACCATGAAAGACAACCGGTAGCATCTGTATTTGACAATGGCAATGGTGGCGGTGGCATTGTTAGGGTGACAAAACCCACATTAAGCATTATCGGAATCTTGGATTTAAGATCATACCCCAGCATTAAGCATTATCGAATCTTGGATTTAAAAAGAATGCATGCTAAATAAGGGTTTAGGGTATAGTTTCTTGGTAAAAATTCATTGGCAAGAGGCAGTAGCTTGTGGAAGCACATGACCCATTTGACCTAATTAGGGTATAGTTCTTGGTAAAAATTCATTGCAAGAGCAGTAGCTTGTGGAAGCACATGACCCATTTGACCTAACATGCAAGATAATAGAGTTTCTTCGTTAATTTCATCAGGTAAATCCTCAACTCTTATTTCAGCTAAACCAGGAATATTTTCTAGGGTTTTCGACTCCTTAGTTCTATCATTACCATTCTTACCATCACCAGAAGTGAAATAGTACTGACGTAGTGTGTCAGTATATATATGCACAGAGAGAGAATGGGGGACAGGCATCCAAACTGGAATCCAAGAAACATTAAAATCATTAGCCATTGCACCTGCAAAAGCCAAGAAAGCATCTGTTATCAAGCAATTGATTTGACCCATCTCTGCCACTGCTAATTCAAGTCCTTTTTTGTAGTTCTCTGGGGTGGCTTTTATGAATAGGTCCAATCTTTCTATTGGATGTCCTGAAAAGACATGATTTACGGGCACTCCATCTCCAACACTGTAGGGTTTTATGTTACTAGGGAGATTATTGGCTTCGGATGCTGAGAAAAGATAGTTGTTGGAGTTCGCTAAGTTGAAGAATGAAAACTGTATGTCTGGGACTGCCATTGCTAGCTTCTTGACTAGGTCGAGAAGAGACAGAGGATGGGAGCCAAATGGGAATGCCAAGACAGCAACATGTTTTTTCAGTTTGGTTGGTATTGTGGAACCTTCCATTGGATTAAATGAGTGGCAAGCTGAGAAAATTAAAGGTTAACTAATTAAGAGTGTATACACGAAATTAAATCAAATCATCTGTAAATAAACAATAAGAAAAAAGATCAGGATGACCCAACTCAGGCACAACTAATAATTAATTTTCAATTAATAAAAATTAAATTGATACAGATGTTCTCCTTTAAATCAAAGGAATTTATTCCTTTAATTTGGTATATAGATGGACTCATACATCAAGAATTACATCAATCAAAGCAGGAAACCGCCAAACTATTTATTTATTTAAAATTTTAATATTCAAATATTCCTCCAAAAATACTGAAACTCATTCAAAAATTTTAGTCGGTCCATATATCTTATTCTTTTGAGTAAGAGAGGAAGATTCGAACCTGAATCTATTGTCAAGTTGTATATGCACTTACAGCTGTATTAATACTACTTATCCACCATCTAATCTAAATCTATTTAATATAAAATAAAATAAGAAAAAATTTCAAATTATAAGTAACAAAATCTTTAGATAAATTAAGAATTTGTTTCAAAAATCATCTTAACAAAATCTATATTTCAATTAAAAAATTCATTATAACACATCTAACATATAAATTACACAACAACCATTAACTATAACATCATAACACCCACTTCAAAAAAAAAAATTATCTCCCCCAAACCCCCTTAACTAATTTCCTTTATATATATATATTTTTTTGAAAATATAATTCATTAATAATAATATCAATAACTACAAATAAATTTATAAACCAGATATAGAACTTTATTATTAGTAGTTATAGAATTCGCTTAACTAATTTCCTTTATATTTAACAAAACAATCGTATTCAATCCTTCGGCATTGACAACACATGCAAGAGAAAAATCAATCAGAACATTTACCTTTCAAAGCAATCCAAACTCTTCCTCAAGTCCAAGAATGTTTAGGAATTTAAATATGAGATATCCAAGGCTATCAGAATGTGTAACACACATTTTTCATATTTGGGAAAATGGGTGAAGAAAGCTTGGCCATTTGTTTGGGAATAAGAGGGGAAGGGAGATGGGGGAATCCAGCTCAACTCATGCAATTATATGAACATCCTACCGCCAGAAAATCTCAACCCCCAATTATTGTTTATCCACCATTCTACTTACACCTAACTCAGCATCTATTTCCTTTAATTTAGATATTAGATACTGTTCAGAATTTCTAATATCTAATCAAATTATCAAAAGGTTATTTTAGATATTAGAATTTTCGTCTCTCTCCTCTGACCATGCCATTTTCCTTTGACTTAAATGTCGGCAGTGTGGATTATTTCTCAATCACTGACAAACTTGTTTATTGCTTTTTTGGCATTTTCTCTCACCCAAAAATAAAAAAGATTTCAAATTAAAATTATAGATTTTAATTTCAAGGAAGGAGTTTTGGATTTTTTTATTAATTTAAATCATATCATTATGAAATAAGAAATTATAAATTAATTTCTTGAAATGAAAAAGGAAATGGATAGTATTATTTAAAAAAAATAAATTGATAACAGAAGTTAAAAGTTAAATTCAATATAAAAAGGCTTGGGCCTTTCGTAAAATCACCCTTCTAAATAGGCTTTGGGCTTTTACCTGATTAGGTTTTAACAATTGGATTTGTCATTTGGACGCGATATCAAAACGGGTAGTCCGGTCCGTGCAGATTCAGTCCTAAAACCGGGCGAGCCGAAAAAAAGCTCGTTAAAAAATGGGTCTCAAATATTAAGGCTCGGTCCGGCACAACCTTAAAACTTTATGCTTTTTTATATTTTTTATATTCATTTTTTTAACCAAAAATTTAATAATATATACAACAACCTTAAAACTTATGCTTTTGTTATATTTTTTAATATTCATTTTTTTAAAAACCAAAAATTTAATAATATATATTATATATATATTATATATATATATATATATATATATATTTTTTTTTTTTTTTGTTGCCAACAATAGAAACAAATAAAGAACAATTACATCTTTATAAAAATATGTGTGATCCCGAGCTATCTGCGGGATTAGACTCATTTTTAGGATACTAGTCATTAGCTTCTGTTTACTCTTATTTTTTTTTTTTCTTTCTTTAATTTATTTATTTATTGTGAGAATCGATAAATAGAAATAATATTATGATCTATAGAGCTCTTCCCTCTAAATAATATTCAGGAGAACATAACAAGACCAACCAGCTTCTATTTACTTTAATTCTATTTTTCTAAGAGAATTGGTTCTAAAATCTTGAAACGGAAATCATTAAGCAAAAAAAGTGTTATTTATTTTGAAATGAAAGAAATAAATAAAATTATATGTCAAAAATCACAAATGTATTATTTGTTTAAAATAAATACAATAAACCATATATAAAAAATAATATAAAACAAAAAATGAGCAACATCGTGTAACATACGTTTTTTTTTAAATATTATTGTATAAAAAAGTGAGAATGGGAAACCGTGAGACTGAAAACAAAATAAACTACTAAACTTATAGTTTGAAAAATATATATTTAAGGATTTTCATTTTATTGGTTTTGAAAAAAGAAGTTTTAATTTGATTATTTACATGGATTTCCTACTTAATTCTAAATTATGTTGGCTAATTAATATGTTAGTAAAAGAAAAAATATTTAGAAAATAACAAACATTAATTTAATTAGGAATTTCAAAGCAAGTTAAAGGATTAATAAGAAAAATTTTAATTTTCTTTTAAAAGCTATGAATAAGTTGCTAAACTCAGGAACAAAATCTTAAAATCATAGGGTAATGATCTATGTCAATAATATTACATTTTGGTTGTTTTAATATTAAAATTTTTTTTCACATTAATATTAAACCAATAAACTCAATAACATTACGTTTTTCTTATGGAATATTATGTTTTGGTTTTGTTAACGTTAACTTGGACGGTCCTATTTTATTTTTTCACATTACTATCAAATTCGAAATGTTAATAGTAATTTAATTTTTATATTGATATTAAACGAAATAATGCCTGCAACTCTCCTTCCTCAATTCTCATGACTCCATCTTTCTTTCTTCGACAATGGCGTGATGCTCAGGATCTCTTAAAACACCGACTCTACTTCATTTGTTGGTGTTTAAAGAGATGATTCCGGTTCTATCGTAGCTGCTATTTCTGGATTCATACCCAGCATAATGGCCCCTCATATTGCAGAGGCAGTTGGACTTCGAGAGGTTGTTTCATGGCTTAAAGACATTCAAGCTCACATATTATATATATATATATATATATATTTTGGAGTGGTGTTCAACCCTTAGGACTGACTAGCGGACATACGCGTAGTTTCTTGCTTTCCACCTCCTCGGATCCATGTAAATGCCCCTCCACATAGACTGGATAATTCAATATACATGGGATTATGATCTATGAGCATTGACAGTCTTAAATCCAAGCAGGAGTTAATTAATTACTTGGATGCCCCCACGAATCGAATCCAAGACCACCAAAAGTTTGTTAAGCTCATGTATTAGTATCGAATCTGATCGTGTTAAGCTTGTGAATGTTAGAAATTAATCTCAAATAATTCCACAGTGAATGTTAGAAATTAATCCTCAATTAATTCCACAAATAACCTTTAGATCGTGCAACCACTAGATTCAAAACAAAATAGATTGAATAAGAAAAATGTTGCGTAACCTGCATCGTTGTGTCGTGATCTTGATGTGTAGAATTAGGTTTGCAGTCTTCCAGAGAATTGAAGATCGATTTAGCGGAAGCAGTAAGAAAAGGAACGTAAAAACTGAATCGTATTCACTCCTCTGGGGACCCTACGACCTTTATATACCTGTAGCGTTAGTAATTTCTATTTCGGTCCTTTAACGAATAGAAATTATATAATCGGTGCTTCTACACTTAATATCATAATTAAGTTGATACCCTTAAACAATAGTCAATTATTCACAATCAAGGCCACATTTGAAATTGACTTAACAATTAAGACTGCTGTACATCTTTAATTTTTCCCATTTAAGCGCCACAATCAGAAAATTAAATTCCAACAATCTCACTTGGGCGAACATATGTTAATATAAAATACATACACCAAAATGAGCTCAACAAACAGCAGTCATACAAGGTATCCAAAAACAATCCTCGGTCCTTAGTTTATATTGATAAGAATCTGACGAAAACTTTCGCCATAGTCTCATGAATAAGTTCAATCATTTCAACTCATTACCAATCCTAACTGACATAGATTCTTATAGAAGTGTAGCATGAAACTACCATGTAATGTGATATCATGTCTGTTTCCAACTGGTCACCCAAAGTGGAGATCACCCAGCAAAAACAATAATAATACTACAGAGGTGTAACCATCAACCAAATGAGTATCAATTAAAATTTCATAATAACATACTCCAACAAAATAGAGGCATTCAAAAACATACTGTATCCATAAAGAGCAAACTCCCACTAAAATTAGACAGTCTCACAAAACAATACCATATGAGCGGTGTGTGCTCATGGAAACTTTTCGGTATCACTTTGCCTTTTTCGGTAAGACGGATCCGCAATCATAGAGGTTTTGTCCATATGCTTAAGGATATCTGGTACACCTTATAAACCCTCTCCTTCAACGAGCCAGAATTAATCTCAATGTGTTTTGATGAGAAAGAGCTCCTGTTGTGTTGGAGAATAAAACGGCTGACCTGCTGTACAATACAATTCAGTGGTCTTTCTTATTCCACCTATAACACGCAGCCCAGTGACAACGCGTTTCTCAGCCAATAGCTTGATTTGATGCCTCATAACGATGCCTAACAAATTCAGCTTCCATGGTGGAGTTGCCACTAGAGTTTGTTTCACACTCTTCCAAGAAATAGCACCACCAAGCCAATAGAAAAACGTAGCCAGATGTGGACTTTTCTACTTTGTTTGGCATCCAGCGAAATCCAGAATCAGTCTACCCAATGTCTCAAGCTGATCTGATATCCTATATGTGAGCATATGTTCCTTAGTCTCTGAAGATTATTCATGACTCTTTTGGCTGCTTTCCAATGATTCCATTTCCTGGATTGCTGACGATATCTATCCTAACATGGCCAACTAGTAAAAGAAATGCTAATGATACAAATTGAATATACATAAGATTCCTACATGCTGACCGCATAGAAGGTTTTTGCATTTCCTGAATTTCAAGTTCACTCTTTGGCCATTGTTGTTATAAATTTCTCACTTTTGCAATAAAGGAGGTATCCAATGGTCTAGAATTCTGCATACTAATCTCTTGAGCACTTTAATCAAATATTAGCTCTTTTGGTGATTAATCCAAAGACATACCTCGAGAACGGTCTCGATGTATCTGAATCCTAAAACAAAACAGAAGCTTCACCTAAATCTTCTCATCTCAAAATGCTTTGGGAAAAAGAAAACTTTGGTTTCTACTGCAGCAAGACTCTTACAATTAGTAGCAAGCAGTATGTCATCCAATATAAGCCCCCAAAAAGATAAACCTACTCCACCTGACACTTAATGGTCAACAACATAATTTTCAACAGCATTTTGCTCAAAACCAAACGAGAACAATTACTTGGTTGAACTAAAGTACCATTGACGAGAAGTTGCTTGAAGTTCCATAAATCGCATTTCTTTATTTGCATACCGAGTGTTTTTGGATCTCCAATTACAAAATTTTCTGTTTGCACCATATATATTGTTTCATCAATGTAGATTGAGCAACGCAGTCTTAACATCCATTTGGATGAAAGCTCAACGATCAAGATTTGCCAACTACGGCCAGATTGGTCCTAAAAGAATCCTTCGAAGAAACTGGAGAGACGGTTTCTTTACATAGTCAATCCCTTCCTTTTTGAGTAAAGCCTTCTTGCTACCAGACGTGCTTTATATCTTTCCACATTACTTCGAGGCAATCCTTTGGTTTTTAAATATCTCATTTGCAACCAATGGGTTTCTTTCCTTCAGGTCATGAACAAGATCCCAAACTTGATTGTCCTTGGATAACTTATACTCTTTCGTTCATTGCCTCAATCCACTTATAGAGTCCGACACTCTGCACTGCATGGATAGAGAACTTAACTGGATCAATCATCATCTA